GTTTTAGAAGTAACCTAAGAAAGAAGGATCTTCCAGGGAGTCTGAATAATCATTTCTCCCAGCACAAGGTAAAGAGGATTCCATTTTTAAAATTATGCTTTTTGAGCAATCAGGAAATTCCATACTTATAATAAAAGATAACGGGAAAGGCAAGAAAAGGGCTGCAAACATCGAGACAATATTACATTCTGAAATATCTATTTCTGTTTCATCAAGAAGCTAATCAATGCACATAGAGAAAAGAAACATTTGCTCTTACCGCTATATTTCCACATGTTTGGAAAGCAGTGAACATAAACATGAATGCTATTCCTAAAACAATGATGTTCAACTGTTTTTTTAATTCAGAATTCATCTTGTGTTTTATCAGAATGTTGTCAGACTAAAATGTAGGTTAACATCTGTCTTTCAAGTTTCTTCCTTTTTTTAAGTTTCTGAGAAAGGAACAGAAAACACAAACTCTGCATTACTGAATTCAGCTGTTTTCTGAAAAACAAAGTATGAAGAAAATACCAGCAAACAGAAATGAAAAAAATAACAAGAGTCTCTACCTTTCAAATGCAGAACAGCAGCAGATGCAAAGAAGCAAAGACGACACATTCTGACCCAGATCTTCACTTACTTACTATATCATGGAATCAGATTTTGACTTGGACACCAATTATCTGATAAAAGGAACAGCTACGGAGATTATTTCCATTCATGCCAGACAGGAAATAAAGAACAGTTTACAAATCAAGTCAGCTGATCAAATGAGCAGAAAAAAAAAAAGCACTCATGAATTCTGGGAAATGCAGTTCAAAGAGCTATACACTAAGGAAAAGAAAGCATTTCTAAACAATGCTACAGAATAAAAATTCAGTGATGTCTGTAAGCATGAACAAAATATCTTTTAGATAATAATGTACATTTTGTTTTTCTCATTTGCCAGGAAATTTTGAGAAAATCTAATTCTGAATAATCTGATATATGATAAAGGGAAAATTTTGAATTGATTTGAATCGTTATGAACCTAAGCTTGTCTGAAAGGAGTACATCACAAATTAATACTTCTTTTAAGTCCCACTTAATTCAATGGGCTCTAAACCTCATTATTATTTATGATAGCACTTGCAACCTGTATCTATCAGGACAAATTGTTTTATTATAAATAACAAAAAATATATAATAATGAATGTAATCCTCCAAATCAAAATGTTTCTATCATAGTCATTAAAATATGTAATGCAGTTCAAGAAAAAAGGTAACATCCTAGATAAATATATAATTGTAGTATATAAGGTAAATCTCATGAGAACTAAATCCAATTATATTAATGCATTTGTGGTTTCCCTCATCTAATTTTCACATCCAAATGCTAGATTCAATATTGAATGGAGAAACCGGGGGAAGGGGGGTTGGCAGCACAGAGCTTTATTTAGTTAGTTAGTTAGTTAGTTATTCGATTTTTATGCCGCCCTTCTCCGGAGACTCAGAGCGGCTTACAATGCGTTAAGCAATAGCCTTCATACTTTTGTATATACCTGTTTAGTAGGGCTTTCGCCCCCCCCCCAAGCGGTGTTCTTTTTTATACAAAGTAGCTTATTGCCCCAACAATCCGGGTCCTCATTTTACCTACCTCGAAAGGATGGAAGGTTGAGTCAACCTTGAGCCTGGTGAGATTTGAACTTGCAGTAATTGCAGGCAGCTGGTGCTATTTAACAGCACTTTAGTCTGCTGCGCCATCAAGGCTCTTTCCCAGAGAAGAGGCCCAGATGAACAGACTGCAGAATTCTGAGCTGGAATGGGGGACAGGGGGAGAGGTTCAGGATATCCACACCCTAGAATCTCTCGTAATATATATAATAGATTAAAAGTTATAGCTTTAAATGGTAAGATTCTTTCCACTAGATATAAGCAAATAAAGTATTGGACTTTATTGTATCTCGCGGTATCCTCTTTGGGCTAGGGCCTGACACTTAGCAACTATTCTAAATTACGACACCACCACCCCAAAAAAAACTTACTTACAATCTAGTTCCAGAGTTCTGATGGCTGCACATGTACATACTCATGGTCACAAGTACATTTGGGTAATTGGCAACCTCTAAGGGAGATGGGAGAGGAAGAAATAGAAAATATAAATAAATAAACCAGCTCACATTTACAATGTTGCAGCATTCTATAGTCTTGTGACCACAATTATAACTTTTTTGCCAGTTTTCAGTTTTTTAGTCAGTTTCTGGCAAAAAAAAAATTCATAGGAATACATGGATTCACTTAACAACCGCTAAATTCATTTAAGAATTACAATGCTCACTTAATGACTGCCATAAAGTCATAAAATCGGGGCCAGTCAACTTAAAACCGTCATGACCTACCATGGAAAATCTGGGCTCTGTCGTGGTCATAGATCAAGGACTACCTATAGTTAGTTAACACTAACAATGTAAGTAAGATAACACCTACACCTATAAGATATTTTTAGGTTGGCATTCAAAATTTACTAGACAGTGCTGTACACTAAAATCAAAATAAGGGCAGCTTTCCCAGCATTATGAGTATTTCCTACTAATTTTAGAATTCTGAAATACGTATTTAAAAAGCTACACTGAACATAGTATGAGGTATTTTCAAGAAAATAAACACAGACTTTTGGCTCCTCGCTTACTTTCTATATGATGGACTATAAATTTTTCATGTTTAGTTGCTTGGATAATGTGCACTATTGCTGTATTCTCCCATTGAATTACCTTGTTTCCCCGAAAATAAGACCCTGGCTTATATTTTTTTGAACCCTGAAATAAGTGCTTGGCCTTATTGCCATGCGCTCAAAAGCCGGATTGGGCTTATTATCAGGGGATGTCTTTTTTTTTTTTTAATTTGATTTATATGCCGCCCTTCTCCAGAGACTCAGGGCGGCTTACAATGCGTTAAGCAATAGCCTTCATACTTTTGTATATTTATACAAAGTCAGCTTATTGCCCCCACAAACTGGGTCCTCAATTTACCTACCTTAGAAAGGATGGAAGGCTGAGTCAACCTTGAGCCTGGCGGGATTTGATCTTACTTTAATTGCAGACAGCTGGTGTTAAATTACAGAGCTCTGTCTGTTGAGCTATCCAGGCTTTTTGGGGAAAACAGGGTAGAAATTACTTTATTATCAACTTCTGAACTAAACATTGGTTCAAATAAAATTATATCTCCCACAAAAATGTTGATGACAATGTCTTGTTGACTGATTGCTTGTCTATTCTGCAGTCTGTTGTTGATGTGTTAATGTCTATGTGCTTATTAATGGCTAATTTGTCAGACTGCCAGGCTTCTAGAATTTCCCTGGCATTTTTGGACATAGTTTGGTCTAGGATGGTCACATTTTCCCAATTGAAACTATGGTTAAGTCTGCCTATATGTTGTGAAATTAAAGCGTTTTCATCATGTCTTCTACCAGTTGGTGTTCATGGATGAGTTCTGCCAGCCTTCTGCCTGTTTGTCCTACATAGCAGTTGTTGCAGTCATTACATTGTATATTGTAAATGACTTTTTTTTCCTCTGGGGTTGCTGGGTTATTTGGTTTGCTTTGGGTGTTTTGAATGGCTTTAGTTGGCTTGTGTGCTACCATAATTCCATGTAGTAATAGTAGTCTGATGGTGGTGACCTTTGTCTCTCAAATGCAGATGGGAGATCAGGACAAGATTCAGCAGTCCATCTGCATTTGAAAGACAAAGTCACTCTTTCCAAGACAGCAAAATTCACATTTTGGATAGACAGGACCATTGGTTCAAAAGACGGGTAAAAAAGGCCATTTGTGTTCCTAATGCCCCACAGCAAAGGACAGGAGGAGGAGAAACTATCTCCCAGGCTGAAGATAGAATAAAAGCTCAGGCTTCAACTTCTGAGATTTCTTGTTAGAGTAAATTGGCCCACACCAGCAAGTCTTGGGGTGGGGTGGGGGGGACCAACCCACCTTGGGATTTAAACGAGACAATTGTTTTTTGGGGGAAAACCACCTAGAAAGGCAAACTGTTTTGTGTCTCACCTGGAAAGCAAAGACAGTCAGCTTGCTATCTTTTTTTACCTCAAAAAACATTGCATAGTACGTACTATTCTTGTAGTAGTGCAAAATACTATACAATACAATGTCCTTTTTTTCTCTCGTTTTAAATAAGTTTCCCTACCCACAGAGGGTGGCTGATAGCTAGGCCTGATAATGGGCTTTGAAAATCTTAACGTGGTGCTACTACTACTGTGGTTATTGTTTCATTTTCCTACGCCTAATATCCTTCAACAGTCAGAATCGCTGTCCCAAACTGGAACAGCATCCACTAACTACTCCGCCCTTGAAAAGACAGGGTCCTCCTCTCCCTCCGCCGACCCGGCTCTCATTCAGCGCGAAGGCAGAGCAAAGAAAGCAGCCTCAACCCGTTCCTCTCCGTCACCCCTCCTCCTTGGTCTCGCGCTTCCATCTTCGCTCGTTTCCTTTCGCGCGCCCCTGTGGCACGCTGCGTGCGCGCTCCCGCGTATTATTAGTCAGCTTCCTCGCAGTCTTGGCCGCCATTTTAAAGACTAAGGTTCTTGTCTTTTACCAAGCGTATATGACGCCAAACACTTAACGATTTGTTAAAATCGACAGGCCGACTAAATTATAACGAGCGAAGGCGGTTATACCTTTTCCAAGAATTGTTATTTGGAATGGGAATTAACGCTCTGTAGCCTTCCGCGTGAGAAGCCTAAACAATCGCTTCCGGGTTTCCGCAGTAAGGGGCAGATGAGCTTTCGCAGTCGATAAAGAGTTTATTTTTCCCTTTTTCTGTTTGGGTGGATGTCAGTTGCCCTCATTAATGCCTTTTAGTATCGCCTTTTCCCTTTGGAGCAACAAAAATCGAATTTAAATTCGAATGACTTAGGGTACAACGGAGGGGCGCGGGTAGAATCGAGAACTGCTTCCGGGCCACCGGCGGCCATTTTGTGGTGCTTAAATACTTGAGGAAGGGCGGCACCTCGTTCACTTGCTCGTGGCAGCGGTCGGAGATGGTGGCTTGCGAGTGAGCTCTGGTCTGCACGCCTCGCTGTTGTCTCGACGGCCAGGCTGTAGTAACGCGAGCCCAACACGGCAACCGTCTCTATAATTTTTAGGGATAGTTTGCCCGCTGCGGTTCTTTCCGTCTTTTTGCGCCCACTACCATGAGTTACGGGCGCCCGCCGCCGGACGTAGAAGGCATGACCTCCCTGAAGGTGGACAACTTGACATACCGTACTTCTCCGGACACACTCCGCCGCGTCTTCGAGAAATACGGCCGCGTGGGGGATGTCTACATTCCCCGCGATCGCTACACCAAGGAGAGTCGCGGATTCGCATTCGTGCGTTTCCACGACAAGCGCGACGCGGAGGACGCAATGGACGCCATGGACGGAGCCGTGCTCGATGGCCGCGAATTGCGGGTCCAGATGGCCCGTTACGGCCGACCTCCGGATTCGCACCACAGCCGACGTGGCCCCCCTCCGCGCCGGTACGGAAGCGGCGGTTATGGACGTCGCAGCAGAAGGTGAGATTGGGGGGGAAGAAGGCCCATCGGGCAAAAGAAAGGCCGGTTTTTCCTAAAAACGTATTCAAACGAGGGATCTGTGGCATAAGGGAGAGTCGTAAAAAGGCCCGGGCTAATGCGTTAGCGTACTAGTTGAAGGGGAGGGGGAAGGTCGGCGGGAAAGGGAGAGCCACGTGATCCTGAATGGGCGGCGGGTGTCGCCTCGGCCGTTGGCTCTGTGAGCGAACTCCCGAAAGAGAGTGCTCGGCTTCCTGGATGCTTTCCAACCGCCCGTCTCTTTTCTTTTCCACCTAGTCCCAGGAGGAGGCGTCGCAGCCGATCCCGAAGCAGGAGCCGATCCCGATCTCGTAGCAGATCGCGCTACAGCCGTTCCAAATCGAGGTCCCGCACGCGATCCCGCTCTCGTTCCACTTCGAAGTCCAGATCGGCCAGGAGGTCGAAGTCCAAGTCTTCGTCGGTGTCCAGATCGCGTTCCCGATCAAGATCCAGGTCCAAATCCAGAAGCCCTCCACCTATCTCGAAGAGGGAATCGAAATCGAGATCCCGTTCTAAGAGCCCTCCTAAATCTCCTGAAGAAGAAGGTGCTGTGTCATCTTAAGAACGGTAAAGTATCAGGTATTCTCCTCAACTTGCATGCTTTATTGTAGGAAATTAGTAGGCCCTGGGATCTTAAACATTCTGGAGTAAGAAGATGGGGCATGTTCATTTCTGAAAAGAGTGTTTTAATTTACCAGCTAATAAAAGGCATCTTCATGTTTTGTTGCAATTAATAGCTTGCTTTTTAATATCTATTGTTTGAGACGCAACCTATTTCTGAATTGACTATTTTCTTACTGTTCTTATCCAACATCTGCATTTTCCCCTTTAAAGCTGCGGTCTCCTGTTTGCTTAAAGAATATTGGCCAGTATTGCAGATTTTAACTGATTTGGCTGATCCTCCAGGGACCAGTTTCTGTGGGCGTGTATTGGAGCAGGTTTGTCTTTAAATGTTAAAGATACACTATCCTGTTAAAAATCTGTTCTATGGATACAGTTCTCAAGAGCAGCAAACACTTTTAGAAGTGAAATTAGAAGTTGCTGGAAACCAGTGTCCTTGGTGCAATTGTGGGCTTATAAGAATATGCTGGGTGGGAAAATGGATAGTGTGTCTTTAACCTCCCTCAAATTGTTTAGTCCTGTTTTTTTCAAATGAAGGGGGCCTAGAACTGTTAAGGATAATGACTAATAACACATCAAGGCTTTGAATAAGTATAAAAGCATAATTAACAAGGTTGGATTTGGATTAGGGGTGGTTGTTGATAAACAACATGTGATGTGGTTAGTGCAGCGATCTGACAAATTTTCCAAAACACTCATGGCTACATTGGTATCAATGCAATAGTGGGAGGGAGATACTGTACTTGCTTGGAAACATGTTTAAAACGTCAATACAAGTAGGTATTTAAAAGTATCCATAAATAATAGAATGCATACAAGGAATCCCCTAAGCATTATCTTTTTCAAATTTAGATACTGAAAATGGATGAGAAATCTACATAAAGGATGCCTTTGGAGGAGAAATGATCATCTGAATTGCCAGTCCTTTGGAGACTCCTGCACAAGCAACAGGCTGTTGAAAAGGTTATTTTGTAACACTTTGTCTAACTTTTTACTTTATGTTTTTGAGCCTCAAATGGCAGACTTTTACTTTTATGTGCCATTTTGTTGCTATTATTCAAATTTCTTGTAATTTAGTGATGTGAACGACTACAGATATCATTATTGGCTTGGATATTTGAGGTAAAAACTTCATTTTTGTTCATATAGTGCTGACTTGTTTGCAAATTAAACTGATAATTAACATGCAGCCTCAAGTTTAATATTAAATATGCAGCTATAGTATGCTGAAAAGCTTTATGCTGTCCAGATGTTCAATTCTTGCCTTTGTTCTCCCAATTTTGAATTTTTAAAATTCAAGCACATATGCAAATACTTC